CTTGAAGCAGGGAGGCCCGTAGAGGCAGGGAGGCCCGTAGAGGCAGGGAGGCCCGTAGAGGCAGGGAGGCCCGTAGAGGCAGGGAGGCCCGTAGAGGCAGGACGGCCGCGGCGCTTTCGTGGAAGAGCAAAGCCGAGCTTCCAGGAAACCACTTTACACAGCGGTGCCATTGCCAGTGTGTTTGTCCCCTGTTAGGCAACGGGATGCTTGAATATGAGAGACTGGCTCCACAAGGCAGTGACCTTAATATGTCTGGGTGTGACAGGTCTTTTTTTTGGAACCCCTCAAAAGAATAGAATATGTGTGTGCTATTGCATAGATCACATTTGAGGACCAAAACCTGAAATTTCCATACTTTTGGGGACATCTTTTGAAGTCCCCATTTGGATAACCTCAGTTTTATAAACATCTGTGAAGGTTAAGGGTGTCGTGATTGGGATTATGGTTTTTCCCATAGAAATGAATGGACGGTCCCCATTTAGATAGGCAGACCAACAGAAAAGCCACTTGCTCCCTACTGAATGCACTCCTCCAAGCCTGATCTCCATTTTAGCATGAAGTAACCCTGCGTACTATAGTTACTTCTTGTTCCTCATGTTTAGAGCCCACAGTTCTTTTCAGAGCCATCTGCTCTACAGTCACCCCCTTTGCCTCACTTCCTGCAGGCTTTTCCTTCCACGGGACACTTTTTTGCCACTGGTCCCCGAGCAGATGCTGTCCCACAGGGCTCTTATGGGCCCGAATACCATCCCCCCCCAACGCGTTCAGTCCCAGCATGCCTTAACCACGCGAGGGGAGCTTTAAACCTGGGCAAACGTGTGATTTTCTCTGCTTATCCACATCCCCTACATCCTCGCTAACTGCAGCAGTACAGGGGTAAATATGCATATTATAAGTGACACACCATCCCACATTCCACAGTCTGTTAGCTCCTCTGCACAAACTCATTGATATTATCATCTCATTATTATTTTTTTTGTGGGAGCGGACAGCGGATTCATTTATCTGAGGGCCCTAGTCAGACATCAGCATGGACATTCAGGAGTCTCAGATTTAAATAACGTTTTTTCCGAAGGCTTGCCGGAGCCTTGGGATACGGCCGATGCATTAATCTGCGTCTGCGTGTGGAAGGGCACAATGCCGCCCGCATCCTACTGAACGAAAATACGGCATGTAAGAAAATACATTTTCCAGTTACAGGTTGTGTTGCCATGATGCTGGTATATTACTGGATACAGATTAACATACAGTGTAACTGTTTTTGGAGATATCACATACCTGTATTTGATGGGGTGATGGCATGTCTGAGCATGGCTCATGAATTTAGGACCTGGGTTTTATTTCATTTGAGATTCTGACATACGGGACATGGTGGTGCGGTGATTAGCATCGTGGCATCAAACCTCTGGGAGCAGGACTTGAGTGTTGACCTCGGACCTGTGTGTGTGGCGTTTGCATGTTCTCCGTTTGTGGGGTATCTTCCAGTTTCCCTCCACAGTCCAAAAGTATGCTAATCTGCTTTTTAAAGATTGCCCGTGTGTGCCCTGTGATGGGTCCTGGGTTATTCCCTTCCTTGTGCCCATGTCCCATACAGACAGCAACAAGCAGGTACAGAAGACAGATGGATGGATTCTGAATTACAGAAAGGTATCTGTATGTGATAGATGGGGATGCATGCTGTTGTGTGGCCCATTACAGTTACACTAGAGCTTTGTATGTTTCCAGCAGGGTACTGGATTGGGTAGCTTGCATTAAAACAATGGTTTTTTTTTCTTTTTTTAACAAACTATAGCAATGTAAACAGGAAAAAAATTAGCCCATTAGACCAATAGACTCTAACACAAACACCCAAGACATCCTCCAACTTATGCATTTAATATAATCAATTCCAATTATTGGGAAGCAAACAACCACCCCCCCCCACCTCCCCTCCCCACTTCAAAACAAACAAACTGGCATTTTTTTTAACTCCTGTATAATACGACCTTCTTCAATGACACATACGGCTTCCAGCTTGGGCCCAGAGACTCAGCTATAATCGCAGGTCCCTCTCTTTGATGAAACGTCTCTTCGAAATCAAAGCAGAGGGTCCAGAAGGGTGGAGGAAGATGAGGGGAGAGGCTGCAACTCCAAAGCCCCAGGGTCGAGCGGGGGGGGGGGGGGGGGGGGGGGGCAGGGGGCAGGCCTCACTGTCAGCTTTGATTCGACCTGCTGGCGCTCTGATCCTAAACAGAGAGAATCTGTCCCCATTTGTTCTCTACGGCTGCTGGCCAGCATCACAGCCACCACTGGCTGAGCAGCCTGAGAGAGGGACTCATCCCGGCAATCAGATACGTGGCCAGACCGCCAGCATACGGTACAGCTCTTCCTGTCTCGTCCCAGTGAAGATCACGGCGCAAGCTCCAAAACACAAAGGGGGCTTTCTGCTGGAATCCCGGAGAGATGGCGGGGGGGGGCAGAGGGCGTATTGAAAAGGGGGGCAAAATCCTTCGAGGAGAATGCATTTACATAATTGTCCCGGCTCACGTGCCCAGAGTCGTGACTGTCAGAGAGGCAGTGAGATAAATTTCACTGCAACGCCACTGTAACCTTCAGCAAACCAACCAATGTGTCCCAATACCACTGGAGTTAATCCATCCTAAATGAGATCAGAATGTGAACTACAGATACACATGGTGGATATATAGATTATACAGAGACAGAATGATGATTTTTCTTGAAACTTGCCAATAAATTTAAGACTAAATGTAAACATGTCCTAAAGGAGATAGTTAATCCAATTAGTAGCGTTTGATAGACATTTTCCCGTTACATGACACCTCTATTCTGACACTGATACTTATTTTTTTTAGCAGGGAAGTGATCGTGGTTAGCTGTTTATAGTGTTTTACTGCTATTTACTGAGCGAATTGGCCCGGTCAGCCAGAAGGCTGTCGTGCGTTAAGACAGCAGCAGGAATGCGTGATGTACGTGCGGATGGTGACAGAGGAGGTGGAAAAGTCCCTCTTGCGTTTAAAGCACTCGACGACTGTGGGGCAAATGCAACATGTGGCGATTCCTGTCAGCATGGACCATGAATGTCGAGGCAACAAAAATGAAAATATTACGGAACTGCTTTCCTTATATCCAGTAATTTTCCATATTGGAAAAAATGGGGTTTCCTGATTTCTTTGCATTGCATATATAATCTGTAGTGAATGATTTAATGTAAATTTGCTCGTGAAAACATGCACTCCTTAAAAGCTGAATAAGGTGACTAAGGGGTGATGAATTTAGTCCCAATTTTGATGACAAGAGCATATCAAAGGTAAATTCATATTCCATTCACTAAACTCTGAAATATGTTCTGCCTCATATGCTGCGTACACACACACACACTCACACACACACATGCACAATATGAAAATCTGATGTTTTGTTTAAAATAAATGTATAAAATAAAATGTATTCTAAAAATTCAGAACATAAAGCTTTTTAAAAACTGAACCTGGATACTTATAATATAGCCCTAATGGTTAGACTGGAGATTAAAGGAGGGTTAACTAATCATAAAATGGTAACTGGAGATTAAAGGAGGGTTAATTAATCATAAAATGATAACTGGAGATTAAAGGAGGGTTAACTAATCAAAATTAGTTACAATAAAATGGTAACTGAAGGCAGAAGCTTGGCGATTCTTTTTATGCGAACTTCTGATCAATGTCGCCCTCTGGTGGTGAAGTGTTTTAACGTTTCAGGTTGATCATTCTTAATTTGGGCTTCGTCTAACTGCGTTAGCTATCAAAGGCAATTCGTGAAACAATTACTTATTTACTCCCATTTGTAATTTAAAGACTTTAGCAGCGATAGGTAACGATGTAAATAGTTCCACTTATTTGTAATTCGACCAGGATTGCGGTTTATAGTCCGAATTATCATGGAAATTATTATTCTGCGCTGGCGCTCATTTATCACCAGCCCCCTTCTTGCATTATTTTAGACAATAATCCTCAGGGAATCCCAAAAGGTTTCCCATGGTTTCTGTAAAAACACAAAAATGGAGCATAGCGTAGGTTACTGTTTATATTTGCAGGAAATAGCTTAAGACCTTATCATTGCTATTATAACATGGCTAAAGTAGTACACTGGGGGGTGGACGTGTATTTTTTTAATCCATTATTGGATATGATTTTTCCTCACTATATGCCAATGCCCATAATAATGCATATATTCTCTGGAATATTTGCCAAATAATCACTTTAATATTGTGAATGCAGAGAATCTGGGGGTCAGGCATCGGCTCCCCGGTATTTAGGATGCTCTTGTCATGTGTTCGCTTCCATAAAATGAAAACCTATAGATCACAGCTTAGCACTTCAGATCCCATGTTACTGTTGTCTGACAGCTCAACATTTGAATTATCCTTATGCTACTTTAGTATGTATAGCTTCCAAAAGCTGAGATATCTAAAAGTACTTCTCAGTGTTTGAGTGGGAGACACGGCCAATGGCGTTTGGCGCTCCTACAGCGCCGCCACCCCAAGCTTAGGCCTACAGGTCTGGGAAATGCAGTCTTCTGTACGGCATGAACATGTCACGTCTAAGAGTTCATTAAAATATGAAGTCATCTACAAGATGTTTTAACCAACTTCTTCCTGTTGTAGTAATTAGTACAACAGTGCACACTGTAATTAGTACAATGTAGTAGTGCACACTGTCATCCCTACAAATGTTATTATTCCACCCATTTTCTGAAGCCACTTGCCCCATTCAGGGTCACAGGGGGACTGATGTTTATCCTGGATGCTAAGCGTACAAGGCAAGGAACAACCCAGGGTGGAGCGCCAACCCACTGCAGGGTGTGCATGCACGTACGTACGTAGGTGTGCACGTACGTACGTACGTACGTACGTACGTACGTACGTACGTACGTACACACACACACACACACACACACACACTTTCTTGACTGCAATTATCCTCACCATGTTTTTGGACTGTTTGGGTGGGGTGGGGGGGGGGCAGAGGACCTGGAGGAAACCCTATGACATACACAGGGAGAACATGCAAACTCCACACCTGGTACTCTGATAGAGACTTGAACACAGGTCCCATAGGCGTGAGGCAATAGTGCTCACAACTGCACCACTGTGCCACCTCCCCGCCTCCTGCGGTTGCCATCGTTGTCATCATCCATCTCCCTTGTTAATCCAGTACAAGAATCTATCCAAAAAATAACAAGGACAGGGATGCAAAATCACACACTATGGGCAGTTCAGAGATGCCAGTTCCCCAAGTGCATGTCTCTGGACTGCAAGGGGAAACCAGCTCAAACACACTCAGAAAGTGCAAACTGCACACAAGCAGATATGAAGGGGTGGGGGCAATCAAGCCATTCCCCTAATGGAGGGGGGGGGGGGGAGACTACACGGGCAAGCACTGCTCCACTGTACCAACCGTAAAATTATTGTTCCAAGAAATCCTGACAAGCACGCAAAATGAACTCCATGTCTGACTGCATTTTCGAAACTGCAATAAAGAACATTTCACAATATGCTGGTAAATGTTCATTTCTCCTGTCATTCAAATCATAGTAGATCTCATTACATCCATTATATTTATGATTGTTAAATGGTTGAAAATATTTCCACAAGTCCATATATACCAGGCAGGGTGCAGCTCAGCAGGTAAGGCTGCATGATGTGACTGGAAGGTTGCTGGTTTGAGCCCCATGCTCACCAGGACAGATATACCTCTATTGGACCCTTGAGCAAGGTGCTTAATTCCCCCCCCACACCTCCAAAAAATGAAAGGGCCCTGTTTACATTATTGACCCCAATCTTTGCTGTCAAGTATAGGTGTGTGTGTCTCAAAGGAGGGAAGGGCGGGAAATAACCCTATAAAACTGCTACAAATTGTGTTTAAATCTGAAGACCGTGGACATGGACTGAGTGGAGGTGCCCTGCGATGGACTGAGACCTTACCCAGGGCGTCCTTGGGGCGCAGGATACGCTCTGGGAGTCACCACAAGCCTCAGATGATGAATAGACATCAATTCATTTGCCTCAGGCAATTAAAAACATGTAAATGAAAAAAAAACAGCTGTGATCTTGACATTAAGAAAGACTAATCTGAGAAGAGTTTGATTGAAGATAAATTGGAGATTTAGCTGAACGTTAATTATGAACACATAACCTGCCCTCAGGACGTTCCTCTACGTGCAGGCAGGGGAAAAGGGATTAGTTAGTACTAAATTAACACCTATGTGACTAAGTGAAATGATCCTACACAGGGAAAAATGTCCCATCACAGTGACTACAGACTGGCTCAGGTGCATTATGGGACATGGCAAGTTCCCTTTAGCATTGTTATGTAGAGATTAATACCACCTCTGCCAGCAAGCCGGACAGGAACATGCAGCTGTCAAACAGAACAAGCTGTGTCATTACCAAGGCAATCCTGTATGGCCGACATTACCACGCCACCACCCTGCTCTATTAGCCGGGGCAGGAACTCCACTAGAGCCAAGGGAGTAGTTCCCAGTGCCTCCAGCACCTTGTGATCTGGGAATTACAACAAAGGTGTGACTCAAACTACTGCTGACCTGCTTCCAGCGATGAAACAGACACAGGCTGAATGAATCAGGAGAGAAACCCAGAGGTGGACACTCCAGCTCCAGAAAGTACAGATCCAGACCAAGATTTTCTTTCAACCAACCAGTTGAGAACCCTGTGAATCCAACTCTTTATACTTAACTGGTTGGTTGAAACAACCTTCAACAATCTTGGTCTGCATTTGTACTTCCTTCAACCTGAACTTTCCACTTCCGCAGAAACTTCTTATTGAAATTTTTAAGGACATTCTAGTAACATCTGGCACAGAGGCTCGGCACCCACAGCTTTTGTGACTCACCCAGGGAATCGCAAAGTTACAGCTCGAACTTCAGAGCGTGCATGTTCTCCTTGAGGGTACAGCAGGTTCACCCCAGTCTAAGAACATTGTGCTCTACAAATTGCAACCTCATCTTCAGTGAAGAGTGTACGGTCATGCATACGAGGACATTCCAACGGACTAGCCTTCAAAAACCTCATTCCATTAATTTTCCAGAACAGGCTCCGGACGAGTGTGGCTTTCAATACCTAGTTATTTCAGCACATATGCCAGCCAGCCACAAAGCCATTTAAAGTGAAAGCATTTAGGAGGGAATGCTTAGGGAAAAAGAGAGCTGACATCACAAAGCCTCATGATCATTCCCCATACAGCAAATTACCCCAGGCTACCATGAGCAGAATGTATAAGAGGGGTAACCCCTTCATGTAATTACGATAATGACAAGCATTCAATTCCAATATTAGAAGTGGTGCGAGACCTTAAGCACTGCACTATGCAACACATGGTAACCCCATGGAGAGGAACTGTGCCAAAAGCAAATGCCAATGCAGCCAGCATTCACAGTATATCAGCAAGTGCTACAAAATCAACCAGCTTTTCATGGACTTAAGCATAGTATTGCATCATGAGTATTACACCCTATCAATCCCCATTTGTACCATTACCAAGTAGGTAACATACTGCCACCTACAAACTTAAGAAAATATATACAGTGAACTCTGAAGAGCATCTGAAATATTAAAACCAATATTTTGTTATTGTTGCATTTAGCCGACTATCCGGCAACACAGAGGGCCTGAATCACAAACTGAGACTTGTTGCTAGCTAGATAACTTGTTGGATTTAAAGTACCCCAGTTTTAATGGGCTATCGTCTTTCCTTTACTTGTAGCACAGATTACCTTAAACGCGACAAGTTATCTTGCCAACCCAGGATTCTAGCTTGGGGATACAGGCCCTAAGACATTAGGACAGTAGCTGCTAGTTTAAACATGGAAATCTGACAATACGGACGATAGACTGACAGGAGTTACAGAAAGGGCTGCAGTGACGGGACACTGGAGTGCAGTGAAATGCCTGCCAAAAATGCACATCATTTTCAAAAGGTTAACAGCCCAACACTTTTGGAAGAGGGAGCTTTCAAAAACCACAACAGCAGCATGTATGCTTTAGGTCCAACCTGAAGTCCTATTTAGTATCTCCAGACCTCTTACAAGGTTACAGAAAAGCCAAGTGAGGGACCTTTTTCCACCAGCCCTACATACAAAATAAAAATAGCAAGCCATTGTCCTCCTAACTTTCATTGTTCCGGAAATAACCTACCTACTGAGAAAATGACAAAGTTTAAGAACATAAGCATTCAAATAAATGAGATCGTTACACAGTTTGTTGTATTTATTTACATCTCCATACATCTGGCAACAATTCACTGCTGGGTCCCAGGCACTAAGGACCTAAAAAACAAAAGTAAGCAGAGTTAAGTAAACCAAACCTCACTGAGTTAAATGCAAACTAATACTCAGAAGCACTTATTCGAGCAGAACTTGCTACTTGAAACAAGCCTCATTGTACCAAAGGTCTACAGTGAGGGTCAGACAGGGATAACTATATAATCATTGGCTTGTATCAAAGAAAAAAAAAGAAAAGATCAAATCAGTGCCGAAAACAAAATCACTAAGGGTGAGGAGGCACAATCCGAGCGGCCATGTCAGCCACAGGCTGCCTGATTTCCACCAGAGGGGGCACATTAAAAATGTGAGGGTGCTATACATCTGGGCACTGGGTCGAATGAGGTCACCATCTTACCTGGGGCAGCACAAGCATGAGTCGTCTCCGCTTGACAGCCTGGAACAAAAGTCCAACCCCCAGCCAGACCCTGGGCTTCGTACTGGAGTGTCAGTCCCATCTAAAAAAAAAAATACAATACAAAATGCATTTAACCTTGGACAGAGTTATTAGAAACATCATAGCCTACAGGCTTTTGTGGAACCTCCACGGTGGACAGGGTGGAAAGTCCAGGTCCAGAAAATACAAATCCAGACCAAGATTTTGTTTCAACCAAACAGTTGGGAATAAAGAGTCAGAGTACTCAACTGGTTGGCTGAAACAAAATCATGGTCTGGATTACTTTATGAACCTGAACTTACCACCTCTGACAGTGGACATACAAAATATACACTGGTTAATGGGTGGAAGATAGAGGAAACTCACCATAACTAGTTAAAATGTTCTCTTCACAGTAAATGAGTTCGCACTAGAAATCAGAAAAAAAAACGCATTCAGAAGAACATCACAAAAAGATAATTTATACGTACTGGTGCTCGATTATAGCGCACGGCACAAAGCCTTATACAGACATCCAAAGTTTGGATAACGCAAGATGCTGAGCCTTCAGAGGTAATATATTCCACAGCTGTATTCAGACAGGGATAACTTTAGCTCATCACAGGCTCCGTTAAAAATATATACATGTAATATTAGTTTCATTTTCAGGGAGAGAAGGCAATGCTTAAAGCCGGCACAACAAAGCTTTGTAATACTAAACGTATTCACGTTTGAGCAATAAAAACCATTAACTGTATTTTTAAAAAGCAAAATTACTATCCTTTGACGGTGACATGTACGTTGTTTAAGCCTAGACGTTTATATTTGCCCGTCCTCACCGGAAGACCCACGTGTCCCGTTAGCTAGTTAGCAGCGAAGGAGAGACACGCACGAAGGCCATTAACCAAACACCACTAATAACCAGCTATAGTGCTAAACGCAGCTTACTCGCCCATACTCGATCATTTCAAAGTGGCGATGCATAACAATAATTGAAACATTTTAATTTCATGAGTTCGCCACCTTTCACCAGATACATAATCTTAAAGCAAACACGCACGAAAGCTAAAAACAAAACAAAAAAAAACGATTTGCTTGCAGTCATTAAGTAAGTCGGTAAAGGTAGGAACTTACCCTCATGGCGGCTTCCAGAGATTTTCTCCTTTCGTTTTATTTGCATGCATTTTTGACATGAAACACACAGCACACGCGCCTTCGCCACGCTCTCGGAAAGGGCGGCCCTCGCGCGCACATCAGCTTTTATAGCTCCGGATTTTAACCGGCCTTCTGGGAGATCGGAGGCGGTCCGTCGCTGCGGTCCGTCGCTGAATAGATTTATAAACTGGATATGTATGTATGTCTTTTGCACAGACGTCTAGAAAAAAAAGACAGTTAAGGCTAGTGTGCCAGTGAAGGGTACTATGCTGTAAATTTATTTATTTATTTTACCCTGATGTTCTACAAGAGCTAATTTTTTTTTCCGTTATGAGGGGTGTTCAATAATTTATCTACCTGAGTATGAAAGAAAGTGTCAAACGTGTTGAAATGTTTTAAGGTTACTCATATTCAGTCGTGGCTCAGTGGCAGTCTAACATTGCAAGAGACAATATGTCTGGAGAGTCAAGTAAGAAAATGCTAGATTTGGAGCGACGATCAGTGATAAAGTTTTTCACAAAAGAAGGGAAAAAGCCAAAGGAGATCCATGAACGCATGACTGCAGTTTATGGTGAGTCTGCCCCATCATCCTACAAAGTAAAATTTTGGAGCAAGCAGTTTAAGTGGGATAGAGAATCCATTGAAGATGACCCTCACACTGGACGGCCTTTTCTCATTGCTTTCCTGTGGAAGCAACTTCCACAGAAATGTGCAAGAAAGTTGAGGATTTAATTTTGTCAGACAGACGACTTAAGGTTTGCCGAATGGCTGACAAAATGGGCATCTCAGCAGGTACAGTTTTGAAAATAATTCATGAAAAGTTGGGCATGGCAAAGGTCAGTGCAAGATGGGTTCCAAGAATGCTGACGCCATGTCAGAAGGCCACGAGCCTCCAGTGCGGTTGGGAGAACTTGGAGATGCTCCGTGAAGACCAAGTGAATTTTATTCGTCGTTTGGTGACCGGAGATGTGACTTGGGTCTATCACATAGATCCTGAGTCCAAAATGGAGTCAATGCAGTGGAAGCACAAGTCATCCCCCACCCTAAAGAAGTTCAAGGCAGAAAGATCTGCAGGCAAAATGATGGCAGCTGTCTTCTGGGATATTGAAGGACTTTTGCTTCTGGAGTTCATGCCACATAAGACAACCATAACCGGGGAGAGTTACGGCAACACCATGATCGCTTTGCGGGAGTCAATCAAGGCGAAAAGACGAGGAAAACTCACGGCAGGCATGCTGCTTCTTCATGACAATGCGCCGGATCACATGTCACGTCAATCGCAGGCTGCCATCTGAGGATGTGGGTTCCAGCAGTTGGACCATCCACCCTACAGTCCTGACCTGGCTCCCTTAGATTATTTCCTGTTTCGAGTTTTGTAGAAATCTCTGTGGACAACAGTTTTCAAGTGATGAAGACGTCAAGGCAGCTGTGACAGACATCCTGGTTTGAAGGTCAAACAGAAGATTTTGGGGTTCAGGTCATTGCAGGAAAAGTGGATGAAGTGTATGGAGTTATCAGGGGACTATATTGAAAAATAAAACCAAAAAAATTTTGAAAACTCTTTCCTTTCTTACTGAGGTAGACTAATTATTGAACATATTATTGTATAACGCCTACAAACATATGTCATAATATGTTTTTAACAGCAACATAGAGCGGTGGAAAAAATTAAGAGACCACCGCACAATTTTTTCTTTTCACTCATTTCTCAATTTATGCGTGTGCGTCTATGAATAATATAATTTTTTTTTGCAAATTGCAGCCTCTGCTTCTCATTAATGAAGGATTACTTCCTTGCTTTATGGTTCTTCAGTCCTGCTTCTAGGGGCCTGATACAAACTGTCCTAGCAGTGCACTTCGCACCTGCCCTTAATGTTTCCCATTCCTCTTGAAGGTCACTTAAGGTCATCCTCTGATTCATGAGAAACTGTTGGATAAGTTAACAGTCATCTCTGGCATTAGAAAGTCACTTCTGCCCTTTACTTGGCTGGTTTCTGCTCATTCCCAATGTTTCCTGCTTCACCTTGACCAGGATTAAACCAGGATTTAAAAATGCAGATTTGCTTAAACATATAGAGTGGTCTCAATTTTTACCATGGCTGTAAGTGCTATTTATTTAGCAGATATGGTTATCCAAAGTAATGCAGTCTCTGGAAGGATTTGAGGTTAAGGGCTTTGCTCAAAGGCCCGATGGCAAAATCACTCTAGTGACTATGGGATTTGAATCTGTGCCCTTTACATTACAGGCATATAGGTCTAACCCACAGAGCCCCATGGTCCTGATATCAGTTGGTGTAACGGCAACATCTAGTCATGCTGGGGATGTGAACCCAGAGTCAAAACCAATTGTATGGGGTACAGACATCCATTTAGAGCAGGGGTGGGGAACCTGATCCATGGAGGGCCAGTGTGGGTGCGGGTTTTTGGGATGACCTCTCAATCAACCAATAATAAAGCAGTGGTTCTCAACTCCAGTCTTGGGGACCCACTGTTATTGGCTGTTTGAGAGGCCATCCCAAAAACCCTCATCGGCCCTCCATGGATCTGGTTCCCCACCCCTGATTCAGAGCCATTAGGGAGGAGGGGCAGTTACACGCCTGTGCATGTGCATTTCCCAATCTGTCCTCGGGACCCCCAGACGGTCCACGTTTTTGCTTCCTGCCAGCCAGTCCATATTTTTGCTCCCTCCAGGGAGAAAAAAAACGAGGACTGTCTGAGGGTCCCCAAGGGCCAGGTTGGGAAGCACCGTTCTAAAGGTGGGATGACAATGTTGTACGGAATCCACTTGCAGAGTCTCGTTTTAGCAAAATGATGGTTTATTGAACAGTAAAACTAATATAATGTAATACAGTGTGGACATACACTGAGTATTGAAAGGCAGCTCAAATACAAATTAAGGACAGTCCTTTACCCCCTTTTATATCCCAAAATTTGCATATAAAGAGTGACCCCCTGGACTGTGATGAGCCTGGGGCAGGACAGAATGGAGACTTTCTGATGATTGAAATTCACTTACTTCCTTATTTAAAATTTAGTGATCAATGGTCATTGTTGACACACCACAGCACAACAACATGTGTCCTCTGCATTTAACCCATATGTGACATAGCAGGGGGCAGCTAATTCAGCACCCAGGGTATTAGTGCTTGGGGGTGGTGCCTTGCTCAGGGTACCTAAGTGGTGCCTTGCTGGTCGGGGATTTGAACCAGCAGCCTTTCAATTACAAGTGCACTTCCCTAACCATTAAACCACCACTGCCAACTAGTGGGGCTTAGCATCCTAGTGGTGCCGACTGGAACTCCCATTCTCTCCCCCCCCTCATGATCATAAACTGCTAACACTGTCTGTATTCAAATGATCAACCAAGAACGTTGGGACATCTTTACTACTTTTCCTTACATTTTTTTGTTGCAAATGGGCCTGCAAAGCTTGACCCAAAGAGAGATAGCAGTGTGAGGTGCCTCGTTAGTTTCTGCCCAATTAAAGCACTGTGAATGTGGCTTTGTTATCTAATGGTCTACAGAAGTGAGGGACGGATCCTGTTATGAGTCCATTGTGTTAAGCATGTTGCTGCAAACTGAAATCTGTATGTTAAGATATTTGATGGGGACTGGAACAGTGCTGCGCAGTAGGGATGATCCCCACACAGCTCTGAAATATCAAAGGGTCAGCTGTCACTCACAAAGGCGTGCAACTACAAAGGAGCGGGTTCTGTTTGAGGCGGATTCCGGAATTCCTGAACTTAGAAAGTGCACTGCTTAGGAATGCACAAGGATGGGGTATCATTTTTCAACCAGTCGGGGCAAGAAAAGATCTGAATGTTCTGTGGTAGCCTGGGGTGAACTAGAGATGAACATGATAATCGTCATCAAAGAAAGTTGTTTAGCAGCCTACAGAGCAGAAGTGAGACTCAAGCCCCCAATGTGGGGGCGTAACAGAACAAACTAGGCTGTCACACCCCCATCTATGTCATGTTCCTTTAAAACCTCTAGAAATGTCAATGAAAAAAATGAGATCATTTAGTGACTTAACTAGTGCAATGAATCATTTACTTAAGCATTTGCAAAAAATATATAAATATTTATAATATAGCAAAAATATATAACAAGAACTCATTTACTTACGGTTGCTAATATTTAATATTTGTGTGTAATAATAAAGCAACCTAAAATATTTGTGGGAAAAAAATCACACTACATGCTTAATTTGTGATCACAAACACTTGCTTCAAAACTTAACAGCACGATATAAAAAGCGTAATTAGTATATTCGTCTTTGTACACATGCGATCAGAGGCTATAGAGTCCATTAATCTCATGACAGACAGTACCAGACTGTTCTGTCCATTAAAAAATTATGGGACACATGAGTTCCCTGTAGGATTGTTCATATACATTATAATGAAACTCGAAGAAATTAAAGTCATTTGTGGTCCCAAGTGTAAGAATAAACATATCAGAGAGGATTTTCCCGCTAATAAAAGAATAAAACCATGGGGCAAATTTTACTGGGATAAAACTTTCAGTGATATTAATTGGAAGAAAGCTTGTCAAGTCCTCTGCTCCAGAAAAAAATGAGGTTAATGTAAAATAATTCCTATCCTTCATATGTAAGACATACCATACAAATCCTAGAACAGGTTCCTGAATTCAATCTACTTTTTCTTCCAACTTATCTTGTTGCTCTAGTAAGCAACTATGCTATTTACCAATCTCTAATAACAATCTTGTACAATATAATGTCATATATAATTAAATTAGTCAGTCTTGAGTGTGCATTACATACACTTTTTAACACAACAGCTGAACATATTATTATTATAATGTTCATATTAGTATTATCATCAAACTATTGGACACAATTGAGCTTGGAAGTACTGAGGAATGCTGCGTGCACATTGGTTATGCATGTGGGTCAATAGCTTCTCGTCAGAGGTGGATAGTTCAGGTCCAGAAAGTAAAAATCCAGACCAAGATTTTGTTTCAACCAAGCAGCTGAGTATAAAGAGTCACAGTCACGGATTACTCACTGGTTGGTTGATACAGAATCTTGGTCTGGGCTTTTACTTTCTGGATCTGAACTATCCACTTCTGCTTCTCATGTGTAAGTATAAAAACTTGTATTTAGTGGAAGTATGTCATTTATGTAGAGAGTGTATTCATGTATACAGTTCAATGGGTAGCACTGTGTACTCCAGTGCTCGCTGTATGTGTGCACTGCACATGTTCTGCTCCAGTTAAAAAGACTTGCAATGATAAATTGCCCACTATGTGTGTGTGTGTCTGTGTGTGTGTATGTGTGTGTGTGTGTTTATGTGTTTGTGTGTGTGTGTGCGTGTGTGTCTGTGTATGTGTGTGTGTGTATGCTTGTGTGTGTGTGTGTGTG